CTTTTTTTTACACATCATTTTATTTTTAGGCTGAATAATTCCCGTTTCCTTGATTTTTAAAGCAAAAATATTTTTCCCTACTAGAATTTCTGGCAAACCATTCTTTTTAGAATGCTGCATTACTTAACAAAACATTGCAAGCCCGACATCAAAGCTACAGTTTGTTGGAGTTGATTAGCAACTTGATTACCCAGGAGAACTAAGTAGTCATTTTAAAATGGGAATATTGCATATAAATAATCTTCCTTGTGGAATGATTAGTACAGCTATTGGCTAGGTTTGATACTCACTTGGCTCTAAAGCAAAATTATATTATTCTGGCACTCATTAGCCGTTCTCATAACTTTAGATGTTACTTTACACCACACTAGTTTGGGTTAGAGAGCCAAGACAGAGCTTTTACAGTGCTTATCTCATAAACTGCATTTATTGCAGCTTTGAAATGTTTATGGAGGGGCTAGTTAAATGCCAGTAAAGGAAAAAAAAACATCTTCTTCAAAAATTCCTTAAGTAAGCTTTTGGAAAATGAAATAGGACCTTGTGAGAAAACTGGAAACAAAGCCTAAGATGCTCTGAGGATTGAGACTTCAAAGGGCAAAACTCTTTATGACATAGTTTTTATGAACATTTCATTACTAATTTGTGCATGCCCTCCAGTCCCTAGGCCCTATATCCAAATTACAAAGTGAAACTCAATTTCCAAGTACTTGAGAGTAACACCTTAGCTTCTACAATTTGGGTAAGCTGCTTTGATTAATTGATGCAGTGCCAAAGGTTTCCCAGAGTTCATGACATTTTAGCAATTCATATAATGTGTATACTGTGCATATGTTTACACATTAGATTGGATCCCGAAAGTGTGTGATTCTGTGTTCTAGATAGTTTTCAACACTGGTAAGGTCTGAATTGTGAAACTGAATTCATGGACAACACTGCTCCTATTAAAACTATTCAACTGTTCAATCTCAAATGCTGAGATTGATGTAACACCACAATATGCTAAGTTTTCATAATCGTTTATAGCCATCAACCAGTCATCTCCATTGTATGTGAGAAAGGAATACAGACAATGGAGATTTTAGAAAATTTTCCTTAACATCATCACCAACTATCTGTAGTAAATAGCGAACCACAATTTGCAAAATTGCAAATCTAGATTCTTTAAACATTTTTTCAGTTTAGATTTTTTCCCCATTATCATTGTCATGTTGTCCAAAATATGAGGTTTGGGGTCACAAAAACCTCATTTTCTGTCAGTCCCACTAGGTAGACTACACCAGGAAATCAACTGCATAGGAAGGGTAAAATTATTTTGAGATTGGCGGTAATAAGCCAATTTGGACAGCCAGTTTGGTTTAGTGGTTAAGGCACCAGGCTAGAAACCAGGAGCCTGAGTTCTAGTCCTGCCTGAGGCATGAAAGCTGTCTGGGTGACTTTGGGCGAGTCCCTCTCTTTCATCCCAAGTCACCTCACAGGGTGGTTGTTGTGGGGAAAAGAGGAAGGAGTATTAGGAATGTTTGCCGCCTTGAGTTTTTTATAAAAATAATAATGGCGGGATTAAAAAAATCTTAAAAAGAACAACAACCTTGCAAGTCTGATGCTGTGCCTCTCCCCTTTCTTATACTCCAGTGAATTGGGGAGGCATCTGCCTGAGCCACTTCCGAATATTGCCTGATGTTCTGGACTTCAAAATGTTTCAGCCCTGTTTGCCTAGGTAATGACTCTTGGCAAGGTCATCATCCTTATGCAGCCTTATTTTAGCTTAATAGCAATTCTCAAACCAGAATGTTTTCAACTGCCACTTTGTTCTGTTTGTGAAAAGATTATGAAATGTGTTCTCAAGTGGTATGTCGGCCTTTGCTTTGCATCATGGACAGACATTTACCCCATATTCATAGGCTGGCTTGTGTCTCACATGTAGTTTTTGCATACATTTCAGGAAGCAACTTGAAATATAAATGTATTGAATAGAAAGATAAGTCAGCTGTGTGTTATTCACCTGCATGAATAACAGAGACAGAAAGAAAGAAAACAGAGAAACAATCATAAAGTTATAAATGTTTATTATTTTCTTTTGTTTAGTCCATATATTTGTTGTTTCATACATATTTCTGTCCTGTAGTAGTTAATGTGCTGGACTAGAAGTGGGGAGACCCAGGTTCTAGTCCTCCCTTAGGCATGGAAGCTGGCTGGGTGAATTTGGGCCAGTCATACACTCTCATTGCTAGACTGGCAAGTCAAAAAAAAATCTGTCTACCAACCTGCACTGGACTAGGTTGTAGAATACAGTCCATAACTTTCAATAAAGAGGCTTTCTTCTGCAGTGGATTAATTTGAGATGATGAGGATGATGATGATGATGATGACCATCATCACTATCATCTTTCTGTGATGCTTACACCCAAAGTGACTCAGATAGATTAAGTCTTATGCATGTCAGCAAACACAAGCAAAAGTTAACAAGTTCATATATTTGAAAATGTAGTTTTGTGAAACCATGAGAAGTAAGAACCTCAGGCTAATATGAAGACTAATCAGCTTGTAACTTGCTGTACCATACTATTAGTTATTAGGTGATAATGTCCTTCTAAATAGTAGAAATTTTGGAATATATCTACCACACAAACAGAAATTACAGTAGTGGAATTTCCAAATATGATGACTGGGAATTCTTAGTTTTGTAATTCCTACATCCATACAGTACAACATTTGAGTAACAAGGAAAAATCTTCCCAGCATCTGACTGGTTTATCATCTATGTGGCCCCTAGAATCTTTGCAAAAGAAAGTGAAGTTGTCATTTTTAATGGAACAGAAGAAAATGAAAACAGAAGAATTATACATGGATTCTAATTATATTAACTGTATCAGAAAAGGAAGAATATACGTGTAAAATACAAATAATACATTCATTTAGTTATATATCTTTAATTTGATTAAGTTTAATATAAATCAAATTAAATTTAAATGGTACTTCTTACTTCCTTGTCCTAGCCCTGCCTTTTTGGAGTGCAGTCTTCATCGTGCAACTTAGAGGGATTAAGCCATGGCTAGTTGTCTCAATACAGTGTTTTCAATTGATTGATTGATGGTATAAATTTGAATTCCTTGTCAAGGAATTCAAAGCACGAAATTCCTATTCACTGTTTCATTAATTTTGCAATTTAAATAATTCATCAGACCTGGAATTAATTAGCATAGCTGTTCTAGATCTGAAGGAATGTCCTAAGATTTTTTAGCATCTTTTCTATATTTCTGTGATGTTTCTGTGGCAAATGTACACATTCTGTTGACATTGCTGGTCTATGCTGTAGGCACTTTCTCTGAAAAATGTCCTGAACATAACTTCTTCTCCCAACCCTTCCACAATACTGTGAAAACATATTTGTCCCCTTTCAGGTTGTTTGAATTTTTGAATGTTCTAGTGATACGTAAAGGAAGTCTGAGTGAACAAGCAACCAACATTTCATTTATTTCATAAACAAAGTCATCCAGTATGCTACGTGTCAGTATGACATCCCCCTTTCATTCAATTCAATTAAAGTAATAACAAGGGCCAGTTTTGTGAATACTAAATTAAACATTCAGAGCTGTTTTGGGCCAGTCCTGTCCTTGTATAAATTTCACAAATGTTGTTAGCCCCATCAGAGTGAGGTATGTCATCCCCCATTGGGGGAAAAAAATCTGAAGGTCTTCCTGTAGCTTTGAGGCACCACCAGTTCAGTCAGATGCTTGAAATGGAGGAAATGTGGGACAATAACAAACCTTTCCAAGAGTAGCCACCCTGACAAAAATCATTTCAAAAGTGCAGTATGAAATGTCACTGGAGGGGGGGACTGTCAACATGGGCACAGCTAACTGCTCCTTTGGTGTCTTCTTATTAAGTCATAATTTTGATGCAGTATGTTCTCTAAGCATTTCCCTGATATAATTATGATTGGAAAGGGCCATATAGGTCATGGAGTTCAACCCCCTGCTCAGTGTGGAAATTCCTGCTCAGTGCAGGAATCCAAATTAAAGCATCCCAGACCAGATGGTTGTCTAGCCTCTGCTTGATCACATCCAACGTGGGGGAGCTCACCACCCATGCAGATGAGGCTTGGTAATAACTAGCAAATGCTTTGAGAGACGTGCATGGCTTTGCAAAATATTGACTGCTAGAACTAAATTGTCATGCTTCCCCAAAGTTCCAAATTGTCATATGAAATGTTTTTAAAGGAATATTTCTAACCAATTAAAAATAGGATTGTGGCTTTAATGAACAAGGGCTTCTAATTTCGTCAGAAATGTCATTCATGTCAGAAAGAAGACATCTATATGTTTCACTGATAGGAAGGATCTAGTTGAGCTAGACTTGCATCGTTAGATAACTATTCATTCTTAGAACTTATTTCATCAAACTATTAAAAAATGATTTCAAAAAAGACCCATAGCTTTCAGTGAGGTATTCTTTACAGTTTAGCTGCCTATACTATGTTGAAACATAAATATCTTCAGAATTACCAAAAGCTCTGTCATAATGTACCAAAAAAGAAGGCAGGTGTATAATTTATTTTCTCACTTTACGATCATCCTAAAATTTAGATTACTGTAAAAATTAGTTATTGCAACTTGCAAAGAAGTATTTAGACCATTGAACAAAACGTATTAATCTGAACAGATCCAAATTAGTTTAAGCTGGAAATATATTTATTTATTTATTGCATATGTATCCTACCCATTTTGGAACAACTGAAGGTGGCTCATATAATATAACAGCTGCTTGTTATTTGACTGGATTGTCAAGTTGACTTGAATTTCTGTAAATCTGTAGTCCTATGCACATCTCCCTCGGAAGAACAGGAAACAACTAAATACAGTGAGATGTATTTCCAAGCAAGTATATTCCAGACTGAGGTTCACATTTCTTTTCTCCATCCCCATTTTTTAAAATGATGAAAAACAATTTTTTCCCCATTTTTTGGTCAAATAACCCTCATTTTTCATTTTGTTTTCTTGTAGGAAGAATCCTAAACCGTTTCTCCAAAGATATTGGCCATTTGGATGATTTACTGCCACTAACATTCTTGGACTTTGTACAGGTAATCTAAGAAGGGACTTTTGCAGAATTGGGCTTGGGGTATCCTAGTCTTGATGACACTTGTGTTTATATTTTTTTCAGTATTTTAGATGAGCTTAGTGAAAGGACGTGTTTGAGAAGGGTGTAGGCCAAAACTCTAGAACAAGTGGTAGTGATTGGAGAGAAGAAATGAGTAATAAGTGGCTGGTAGGAGTGGCTCTTAACAGTTTACCATTATGTCAGGGTTTCAGTATGTAGTAGCTTAATGCTTGGTAAGTTGTGCCTAGTTTGCCTTTGAGACATTTGGCAAGCTTTCTGCAGTGTTATGAAACATATCCACAGTAAAGGAACAATCAGCTCACATGAAAAGATAGCACTGATTAACCTAATTATGCATGTACTTCCTCAAAGAAGCCAATGTTTACTATAGCTGTTTGGGATTAAAATAGGTGTGGTTATTTACAAAGAAGAGATTAGTAATAATAGGGCTGAAAATAATAGCTTCAATGGGAACAAAAGAAAGAAGTAGTTATAAATACAAAAAGGTTGTCTAAGTGTAAAAGATGTTTGTATCAGGAAAGTGGTAATGGATTAATTTATGGTAACACATCTGGGTTTCAGGAGATTCTCAAATGTCTTTTCTGGAAACTATGTAGAAAGCACACCACTGGAATTTACTTTCCTATTCATGATATGGTCTTATTTGGGAGACCCTCTTAGATCTTAAGCCCCCAGCCAGTGATAGCAGCCTAGTGCCTGAGCTCAAGAAAGCTAAGCAGGATTGAATTTGATTAGCACTTGGATGGGAAATCAATCCCAGAAGATGGCAATGGCTGCTGAGAAAACAACACACATGGATGTATTCTTATCAGGAGTTGAGTGGCACTTTACTAGTGACATCAGGATATTACCATGTATCCAGGCTATGTTTTACCTATATGTTTATATTTGTGTGAAGGTTGGGCCATATTGACAATGACCATTGACCTCCTCAGTGGTAGGGATGCATTGGCAAGGTTAATACCACCATCTTACTCCATTACCACTATTTATATCCAATATTAACTAGTACTTAATATTACAATATTAATCTAGTAATAGATTCAGAAGACAGATTAAATTGTCCGTGCATTGAATAGTCATATATTCTTGGCCATTACCAGCAATCTGTTGAGACTTAACTTCTGTTCCTTTCCTTGTTTTTAAAGAAAATTAATCTTGTCACTACAGTAATAGAAGAGAGGAAAAAGCCCAACGTTTTCTTATAGTTTTTGCCCTGCTTTTTAAAGCTCCAGTCCAACAGATTTTAGAAAAATATTCCTTTGTAGAAATCTGCCTTATAAGCTCTTTTTCTTTTTGAATGGTCCCAACACAGTATGTTGAACTCTAAAACTCACATATTGAAACATACAAAAAAATCAGCCCTTTGCAGCAAACCACTAGGTGGGATCTTGACCATTTTATTTCATTTTGGATATGACATGAAAGCATTGTACCATATGGTAAGATGCCCTTGGTCAGTAGGGCAAAATGATCTCTTTAGACATGTGAATGCTTGCTGGGCATAGTTTACTTTACTTCATATTGGTATCTAACATCTCCTTCAGAATTTACAATCTAGGAAATTGTTGCAATAATTCTGAAAAACACATATGCCTATCAAAGGAGCAGAGTACAAAGCCCTTAATTTTTATGCCAACAGCTCCTACCATTAGCAATTCTGCATTTTATACTCTTAAGATACAAGGCAAAGATCTATTTTGTCTTCAGATGAATTGACTTTTCCTAACTTGTACTTGATTTAATGATCCAATGCATGCTTCAATAGTGATATCCAGACTAATTTTAATGAGACAATTTAAGTTTACTCTACCAACCTAAGGACTGATTGACTCTCTCAGATTGAGAGATTGAAAATGAATTCTGTGTTCCTTTTTCTAGCACAAATTCTTTATTTTTTAGTTACCTGAACTAAGGTAACAAAAAATCCCCCAGACTTAATGCTAGCTAGGAGTCCTTTCATGTGGTATTTAAACAAGCATGGATTGATCCAGAGGTTTCACATAAACTCCCAGTAACTGTTATATGCCTAGCCCACTCATCTAAAGAATAGAATATGGACAAGGTGGTTGTTAATTTTCTCACAGATTTGTCCCTGACTTTTTTGTCAGTGAGGAACATATTGACTCTTGAATCTTCTCCTTTGTAACTATACTTCTGAAATGTTTTCAGATGTGTGAGAAAGTAAATGGATGTTACCAGCTTTCAGTTTGTATATTCTCTCCTTAAATTTCTCTCTGTTGATTGTGGGCAGCGCTGATTTAGTTGAAGTATTTTAGTTGAATTGTGAAGGCCTTCTGGTTTATTTGTGTCTGGAGAAGCCCAGCTTTGTACAAAGGATCCCTATTATTGAATATGATAAAGATCTTTTGTTATTTGTTTTGTTTGCAGGTGTCTTTCATAAGAGAATCTCTAATCCCTTCAGGAAGAAATATTTTCTCTTTCTTTAAAAAAAGGGAAAAAATCAGTATTAACTAAGAATAAAAGCACTGAGCCTTTGCTATTGTTGTTGACAATTTGAGAGACACTTCCCAATAGTCATTGTTCAAATGGTTGTCAGGAGGAATCAAGTGAAACTCAATAAACAATGCAGTAACGGGTTCCTCACACTGTGTGCAGAAGCTTTTCTTGAGACGATTTGCATTGAAGAAGTGGTCCATTTTCCAAGTTGTTGTAGGGTCATTTAGAAGCATTCCAGCTTTTTTTTAAAAAAATTGCTTTACTAGCAGTTGAATATTTTAGTTTTGCAGAAATAAACCTATCTATATGTAGAATTGGGGAAGATTCTCTCCCCGCCCCCCCACTCCACTGTGCAGTAAATTCTAGAGTGTTGCTGTGAAACCTTCTAGTAATATCTTCTTCAAATTGCTAATTTATTTTCAGTGAGATTTATTTACATGATAATGTGTATTACTGAAAATTATTACTAAAGAGTAAGTCTTCTTGTAGTTGATGGTTCTTACTTTTTAGTTATTTTGTTTTGCTTTACAAAATACTACTAAAACTTCTACATGTGCAGTTCTATGTATCCTTAGTCAGAGATAAATCCTACAGTGTTCAGTCTTCTCTAGGATTACAAGCTTAAATATGTTAAAAGGAACTGGGTATGTAGGAATTTAAGAGTACTGTAAACCTTTTGACTCTATACAATCAGTTTGAAAATTATTCAGTCATAATTTATGCCAAATGTGCTGATCAAAATCTTTTTTTCCCTCTTATATATATATACACACACACATGCACACGCACACACATATACACATACATACATATAGACACATACTTTTCCCTTCCTCTTTCTTTTTTTACTTCCTGTCTTAAACACTGTATGTGCACCTGTCTTATGGGTTAACATTATCTTGCCAAGCATTTGCAGATTCTCTTTAATGCAGCAGACTGACCAGAGGGTTTTGTAGAATGTTTGGAAATACACATCTGTTAATTTTAATTTATGTTCCTGCCCCCTCTAAATGTTGCATTAAAAAGCACCTTAAGATTTTGTTTTGTTTCTGGGGGAACATTGTGTGCTATCTGCAGCTGCCCTCGGATGGGAAAGAAAAGACCAGTGATTTATTGAAGCTGGCTGAATTGAAAAGCCCTTTTTCCCTCCCCAAAATCAACAGCTTGACTGAGTTTAAATAACTGACTTTTCATATCCTTTCACGGCACACAAAGACCTAATCCTGAGACTACTTGAGCCACCAATGTAGACTGTGGACAAGACCACCACTGGAAATGTCATCCCTTCTCACCACACACAAAAACACATTGACTGCAGCTTTTATGAAGTGAAAATGCCAAAGAAAAGGAAAATGCAAGTGAGGTGGCTGCAGTAATTTTTTCAAAATAAAATAAAAAAGGCTGCTGCGTTTGGATATTAAGAACAAAAAGTGCCTAAAATGACAACAATGGCTCAGGTCACTTCCTTTCATAAGTGCAAATGAGTGAAACTACTTGTTTGTTTCAATACCATTGACCCTTACATTTCATTGTGTGGAAATGTCAGGGAAAGTGTGTTCGAAGACATTTCAGCATCTTTTAGTTTTACAATGAGGTTGTCATTTTGAGATTCCCAAGGGTTTCTCCCATCTGTCTCCTTCCTTCACCACAATTCATTAACAAAGTAGACTTCCATAAATTTTTTACCTTCAGAAATAATTAACTGCCACGTCTCTGTTTTGTTTCTAATTTAAAAACTAAATCAGAATTCAGTATGCTCTTAGTATCTTTTTTCCAGAGCAGAAAGAGCTGCCCTGTTTCAACTCACTTTGGGTCATTCATATCCGTGTTTTATGGACTACTCTAGTGATTATGTGGGATGGTCCAGCAGATGGAAGAAATACCTATTTAGGTGAATGTCCCTGTAACAACTCAAGGGCATTTCAGGGCAGACCCTGTGGACCGAAAGGAGAACAGAGACCTTGGTTGCACTGGTGTTCAAAGAGCAGCATTCCCCTGTAGGTTTGGCCTAGGAATGCACAATCTTTTCTGGACTAAAGGCTGCACTGAAGCTTGGGTAATATGCTGGGGACTGTACTCCAAAAAGGAATGAGTGGGGCCAAGAGAAAAACTAAAATTGATTTGCTTTGCTTTTACATATAAAGTACATTAAATATGGCTAATATGATTATTCTTTATCCATTTATTTAATACTTTTCTCCTTTCTCATTACAAAAATTAGTTTGATAACAGTTTACAGGGGCTGCCTCTAAGGACCTCAGGTTGTGCATCCCTGATTTAGCTTCTCAGCATTTAGAAGGGGAAAGTTTGGACAAGCTGGATAAGAAAGAAGAAGTTGGTGGTAGAGAAGAACCCCTTTGGGCTTCTTTACCCCACAGGTCTGGCAGGGTATGACTGACTCAAAACATTTTGCTGCCTAAAGCGGAAATGCAGATGATGCTCCCTGTTCAAGCTAACCTCATCGAATTATTTTGGCATCTGAAAATCGTGCAAGTGCCTCTTCCTGCCTGCCATTGTATTCTCCCCACCCAGGCCTCCTTGAACACTGTTATCCACTTTCAGTTTTATATATGGTATCTTTCTTCTTTGTTGAAGAATGTGCTTTGTTGTCATTTCACTGATATCCTTTGAAAAATCATTTGGACTAATTTTGTACAGAAAATATAAAAATGTTCGTGCATTCCTTTATAACCATTCTGAGTTCACAATGTGGACCATAAAATTTCTTTACATCCACTTTATGCACTCTAATGCAAATATGCAGAAGAATGAGTTTCCGAATTGCAGAAAAACAGTATTCCATGGTGTTTAAAAAACTTCAAAATTCTATCCCAAGTTTGATGTTCACTAGAGCTAGTGAATGCTGAATTTTTGTAAGAGTTGGTTTTTTTACTCTGTTTGGACCTGGAAGAAAGATCTGCAGTCATTCTCTCTTCCACTCACAATCCTGCATTTTGCATTTTTGCATTGTTTACAGCCATTGTTTCCCTGGTTTTTGTCTGATGGCAAAACACCAAGCTGGATAAAGGGTTTCAGATCCCTCTCAGTTTTCTCTTTACTTTAAATTGCACCGCTGCATTTTAAAGCTTATGTGGTTCTGCTATCCTGGTAGCATTTACCACATGCAACACCAAAACAAACAAACACTGGTTTACATAATACTAATTTGTGTGGTTATCTGCTAAATTAAATGCTTAGTGAGTGAACACCTTTGAATATCAGTAAGATTTAGATTACTCCTTTAAGTGTAGGATACTTGGGAGGGGGTGACATAATCACCCCTGCATTTCAGAAATGTATATTACTCCACTCCTGTCATAATGAATGATATTAATTGCTGATAGACAACCTCAAGGCCTAGGACCAGCTGTCAGTAGGCAAAATGAAGCAGCCCTTTTGAATGGGAAGCCAGGACAGGGAGCAAATTGGGCCATGTCTCCACCTACTGCCCCACAACCAGCTGTTTTATTGCACACTGCCCACTATGACCACACATCACAAGCGTTAATTAATTAATTAATTAATTAATTAATTGGTTATAATCAAAGAACAGCCCCTGGAGCTGGGAGTTGGCTGGTGTAATGGCCACCTCCCAAGGCACAGCTCTGAGAACTGCCTCAGAGGACATTGTAGACAAACCAGGGAATGAGGAGTAGCACCACTGTTGACCTAGAAGGGACCTGTTTTCCTGTTTTCTCTTGATGTGATGGTCTTCCACATGAGGAAAGTCTTTCAGTCTGCCACTTTTGCTCTCTTAAGATCTTTAAATGGAGCACAGGCCAGGCAGCCTTTAATTGCAGAGTAGAGATTTGGTCGCATATCCATATTCTGGAACATGGCTGGCATCACTGATGCTTAAGAACCTGTGTGCCATTTGCTTTTCAGCATTTATTTGCCTTGAGAGGTTTCTTAGCTTTTCATGCAAATCAATGAATGTAGAGTTGCCTTTAACTCAGGTTTCCAACAGGCCAATGAAGCATTCTCCCGCTTTTCTAAATTGCTCCATCTTTCCTTGTCTACATTTCTAATTTCTTTTTACAAAGGACTGTGGATTTTATCCCTTCAAAACATTTCTGTGAATACTGTAACACAATTTCCTGGCAGGAAGAGTTGCTGTAGCAGAAGGAAGAAAAGATCAAGTGATTCCATTAACATTTCTAACAACTTCTTAGCTACTACAAATCTTTTAATTCCCCTGTCACTCATAGAGTGTAACAATCGTGTTTTAAATGGTGATAAGTACAAATCTTCTACATTGCCTTAAACTACCGATATACTTATAAACAAAATAGGGATTTTTTTCTGTTTGGCAAAAATAGATCTCAGATTTTACTTTCTGATTCAAAGGGAGATTTTTTTTTTAATGTAAAATTACCAGTGCAAATTATCAATGTTGGCTCTCAGGGGATAAATATAAGTAAACTAAATCAATCTGAGGGTTTTTCTACATTTAAACACATGCTTTCTATGAGATTTAAAGAATTTCTTTTTTATCTATTTGCTTTTCTGGTAGAAGGAATAATATGGAGTAGAGCTCTCTATAGGATCCTGACAAATGTCCAGGAATTGATACAAAATGTGACAGCTAGATCAGTAATCTGTAAAGCCTAGGGATCATATGATCCTTGTGTTGAGAGAGGTGTACTTGTTACATGTTGCTTACTGAGCACAATGTCAGGTTTCAGTGTGGTCCAGCTAGGTGGCAGCACTAATCAACCTTGGTTGATCTAGAAAGCTAAGCAAAGTCTAGGGCTGTGGGCTAGACTGGAACATTAATAAAAGTTCTGGAAGTTGGCAGTAATAGCAAGCCACTTCCATGTTGTGCCCGGATCCCCCATGGATGTGTCTATGTAAACTCAACTCAGAGGAGATGTTGCTATATCTGAACACTCTGGGGCCTGATTATCCAAGGGATCTCCTTACCTTTACAGTACAGTACTAACCTGCTTAGTAGTTAAGATCTGCAGGAAAAACTTTGAACAGTGCCTCTTCTGTTACATGTTTTTTTTCTTTTAATATTTTATATTATACTTTTACATTTTACATGTTCTTAGTTCTTTTAAATATTTACTAGTGTAGAAAGGCAAGGTATAAATCAAGCAAATTAATATATGAAAATATGTTTTTCTTGCTGGCTGCAAAGACAGTGAGCCCTGATTCTTGGTAGAACAAAAGCTACATAAGAGAGGTGGGCTAACTGGTCCTCTGGAGTCACTTGTTTGATCGTTTGTGGAGGACAGATCTTTCTTTCACCTGATCAGTCCCTGTCAGCTAAAGGAGAGTCCTTTTAAAATCTTGGCAATAGTTTTAGCTCCTCTTTTCAGAATACCAAGCCAAATATTTTTGATTAGCTTGACTCACCTCCTTCCCCACATGTGTAGAAACTGCAGTCCTCATGATGATAGTTTAAAGAAAGGTGGCTCTAAAAGAAAAGGGAGAGGTACAGTTTATCTCGTTGTGAAATGGTCATGTGTTTTCCAAGGATATTTGCATAAGTTGGGAAATCAGATGCCTTCTCTTTCTTTAGAGGGCTTGGTTGTTGCCTGTGCAATAAGTGTCTGCCTTTTGAGACTATTTCATTAACAGTTTATTTGCATGCAAGTTGGGTTTTTCATATGCATTATATTAGAATGATCCACCCTTTCATAAGTTTAATGTTAATGAGGCTTCTGTGAAATTCCTTCCAAGGATAGTACTGTATGTGTGTCAGACAATGGTGTGTCAGAACTTCGTCATCTTAACAATATCCCCTCTTTTATTTTCCTCCCATGGGAAGGTTTTGTTCTGTGCACTTCAGCATGAATATTGCTTCCCATCTGGGAGATTTTGTTTCTTAAGTAAGTAAACCTCATCCTGAAAAAAAGAGAGAATTTGTTCTCTAATGCATTTACTTTGAGCATCTTTTAATTTTTTTTTTCCAGGTCCATAATGACTAATTTGGCCTGTGTATAAATTAAGCCTTAATTAAGTCATTTTACAGTTGTGCTAAAAGAAGATGAATTAAGTGCCCTAAAAGGCTAGAACCCCAAAAAGACAAAAGTGGAAGAGATAATTTTAAAGCAAGGAGCTAGGAGAAAATAGCACTATGCCTAAAGCTGAGATATAGCCTAGGATCACAAAGGGCTTTGCTGAAAGGAAACCAAAAGGCTAAGAAGCTGTATGGAGCTAAGACCAGAGGGCACAGGCTTACAAAATTTGGAATTTGTTTTAGGAGAAAGGAATTTTGCTGGTTCTGACTCTGCTTGAACTCTATGATCTTATTTGAAGACAAGGAAGACAGATAAAAAATGGTGGCAGTTTTACATACTGAGTTCAGCTGCAGGCATCTGGAACTTAGTTGCTGCTTTTTTAAGCTCCCAAAGTACCTTTCAGCCATCTTTATTGCTACCCTTTAGTTAGATCATTAACATCATCTCACTGCAGACTGGGGTAGGCAGAAATGATGTGGCAACTTTGACTTGATGATTTGCCCAAGCATCTTGTCCCTTTGATTTTGTGGCGAGATTAGAACAAAGGACAAGTTGTGGGAGGACCAAAAATGAGTTTCATTACCTGCATGGATGTTATTAGAAATAATTAGAAAATGTTACCCAAATATTGCATTCCTTTATATGGATTGTATGGAGTTTGGGATTGTCTTCTCTGGATGTTGCTAATCTTGGTACAGTATTGTGTACAAAACTCTCAGAAGAACCTTTAAAGACTAAGATGTGACTCCTCCTCCCCTTTTCTTCTGGCAGACTTTTCTCCAGGTGTGCGGGGTGGTTGGTGTGGCGATTGCAGTGATACCCTGGATTCTCATCCCATTGGTTCCTCTTCTTATTCTTTTCATATTTCTTCGACGGTACTTTTTGGACACATCAAGAGATATCAAACGTTTGGAATCCACAAGTATGTGTTTTTAATTTTAACAATTTGGGGATCGTTGCATTCCATGCTGCTAATTGCATAAATGCAGGCTTGATTTTCCTCCTTTATGTAAATGTGTATTTTGGTAGTGATTTTGAACACTCTTTTGACTCATTCCTTCTTGCAGCACTTAGTGGTTCATATAAAATCCCATTTTTAGATAAAAGTACCCAAAAACCTCTTAATTTCTTACTCTCAGCAAGAAACACTACATGTGCTCCCCCCTTCTTTCACCTGCTGAGCACCCTCTCCCATATGCTTTGGTGGTATTTGACGATATGATTGCTTGAGAAATTTGTTGAAATAAGAAGTGAAGGAGGTGCTTTAACCCTCCACAGGACTCAACATACTAATTTTATTTTAAACAAGCAAGCCCAAAAGGAGGTGGATGAGTCCTATGGCCAGTGGAGGCTGGGGAAAAAAAGAGTATGGTTCTTGGACCTCAAAAAGTTGCCGATTTCTGATTTATAAAAATGAATTGTCTGGCTTTCTTTTTTCTGTTTTCTCTTGATTTCAACATTCCAGCTGCGGATTATAATTGACCCACCCCCAACTCCTGTGAATGAAAATATATGTAAATGTGCAGATGCAACAGAAGCAGAGGACAAGTTAGGAAGTTGCCTTAGACTTAAATATATTATAGATTGCTAAATGACCTCAATTGTGCAGAATAACTGGAGAATAAAGACTAAATCTTCTTCATTATTAACTTTTCCTGTACATGTCCACCTTTCAGCTGCTAGTCAGTATTTCTGTCTACCTGTCTCAGAATATTGCTTGCTCAGCCATTGTGCCAGACCTTCTGGTGCTGAGTAAGGTATGATCAACTTTATGAAGCTTGTTTCAACTTCTGCTTTGTATTCTTCAATGAAAGGTGTCTATGGAATTAGTTCTGAGCCACACAGATGTTTTTGATTTAATTCTGTTATTGTCTACCAAACAACATATCAATTCAGGAAAGAGATAACTTAATCATTGAGTATCACTTTCTGTAACTTCTGCATAATTTTTTTTTAATGAGCAGCATTAAGGTAATCTTGGAGGGAAACTTACTGTTTTTTGTAATTTCAGTGATAAATGTTACACATTAATTCAGTTAAGAATATCTGTTCGTAGGATTAAAGGTCAGCATAGTGAAAGAGTCCTCTTGAAGTCTGACATCATTTAACCTTCATGTTGCAGCTCGAAGCCCGGTTTTTTCTCATTTGTCATCATCTCTTCAGGGACTTTGGACTATTCGTGCTTTTCAAGCAGAGCAGAGATTCCAAGAATTATTTGATGCACACCAAGATCTACACACAGGTTTGTAAAAAAGCTCATGGGAATTAACTTCCAGTTCAGCAGAACCAAGAAGGAATATTCTTCCTGCAGTATATCATTTCATCAACCATTCCTAACTGTGATGGAATGGAATTATGAAGGCCACACTCAGGAGACGAAAGAGGATGTTTCCATATATATATCATGGTTTATTGATCCTCTCCCCATCTTCTAACCATATATATATGGTTAGAAGATGGGGAGAGGATCAATAAACCATGATATATATAATGGAATGGAATTATGAAGGCCACACTCAGGAGACGAAAGAGGATGTTTCCCTCCCTGAGTGTGGCCTTCATAATTCCATTCCATCACACTAACTGAGAAATGGAATGGGACAGGAGAATTAAGCACGGTTTCTTCTGGGGCATTTGTTGGATGTCTCCTCAAAAATCCTCCTCATTCCAATTAGCCAAAAAAGGTTAGGTTCATTTCTGACCTAAGACTAGGTAAAGCCTAGGTAAAGCCTAGTCTTAGTGTTGGCTGCGGGTGGGTGGGTGTCAAATTATATTAAATTACACTAGGGCAAATTTCCTCAAAAACATTTGAAAATTTACTCTCTACTTGTGAAAATCTTCTGGAAAGTTGTAGACATGTATCATGTTTGGACCTTTTGGTGTCCAGAACCTTCCATCGTTGGTCTTGGATGGGATGGCACTGCCTCAAACAGACACAGTGTGTAATATGGGGGTCCTCCTGGACTCATGGCTCCTGCTTGAAGGACAGGTGGCAGCCCTTTGGGTTGTGTGCCAGCTGTACCTGTCCCCGGACTGGGAGGCTCTACTCCCTGTCACTCATGCCCACTCTGCAGTACGCTCTACACGGGGCTGCTCTTGAACAGGATTCAGAAGTTTCAACTGGTGCAGAATGTGACAGCATGAGTAGCAAATGGTGCTGGTTATTTGGTGCATGTAACACCTCTACTCCATGAACTGCATCAGTTTCCAGTGTGCTTCTGGGTGCAATTCATGGTGCTGGTTGTCATCTTTAAAGCCCTTCATGTCTAAGGACTGAGTTACTTGAGAGACCGTCTCTCCCTAATTGTTTCTACCTGTCCGATCTGGTCAGGCAGGATGGGCATGCTTTGGGTCCTGTCAGCCAAAGAATGCCAGTTGGCGGGGCCAAGAAGACATGCCTTTTCTGCCGTAGTGCCCACCTTGTGGAACATTCTCTCTTCGGAGAGTAGGATGGCCCCAACCCTGCTGGCCTTTCATATGGCCCTAAAGATCTGGTTCCATGCCCAAGTATGTTCAGGAACCCGCTTCTTGGTTGTGTTAGTGATTTGGGTTTGTTGTTTCTCGGCTGCTTTGTATTTTTTTTTAATAATGAGAACTTCATTATATTATATTTCAAAGTACAGTTAAAGTGCAAAACAAGGAGTACAGCAAAGACAGAAAATAGAACTAAAAGAAAAAAGACAAAAACTATAATAGTGAAAGTAGATAGAAAATTGAAACAGAAAGTGACTTCCGACTGTCTCCAATACAGATATAAATACAAATTGAAAAAAAATAATCTCTTACCACTAATTAATCCAAGTTCACATTATTTCTATCAACACCCGGCTGCTTTGTATTTTAACTTTTGTAATGTTTGTAACTGTTTTTATTTTAATTCTTTTAGCTGCCCAGAGTCACTTACTGAGTTGGGAGGCCATGTAAATTGGATGGATAAATAAATAAATAAATAAATAAAATCAGAAGCCATGATATACATATCTGTTTAGATTTGGTTCCCATGTTTACTTCTTTTTTTTTATTTTAAACTTTATTAATTGAAAATAGCAAACGAATACATATAAGACATTGCATGATACATACAAAACACCAGTGACATATAACAATATATAC